CATTAAACAAATAAATAAACTATGGATATAAAAAAAAAAATGCCTAAATAAAATATTATTCTGCTATATTTATTATTATTATATATATATATTTTTTTTTTTTTTTTTGTGTGTCATTTCGAAATAGAACGAATCGTATATATGTACTTGTAAATAAGATCTAAAAATAAGGTGTATAACAAAAAAAAAAAATTGTCATAAAATTATTTATTTTAAATAAGTGCAAAATGGTTATATATATAAACGTTATACGTTAAATTATATTCTTTTTTTTTTATTTTTTTTTTTTTTTTATCATATATATACATTATATATATTATATATATATATATATATATATATATGATTATTTTATTTTTTCTTTATTATTTCATGAGACATACAATATTAGCCTATTTGGTCATTAAGTTATATATTTTTTTTTTTATTTTTTAAATTAAAAGATATTTTTTTTGATAAACCTAAAAACAAAAAAAAAAGGATATATTATAAAAAAAAAAAAAAAAAAAAAAAAAAAAAAAACGGATAAGTACATCACAAATTATGATGCGGAATAACAAAAAAAAATAAATAAATAAATAAATATAAAAGGAATAAAAAAAAAAAAATTCATGTAATAATGGCAAAAAATGGAATATATTCTTTTAAAAATTTAAACAAAAAAAAAAAATAAAAAAATAATAATAATAAATAATGACATAAACATTTTAACAGAATAAATTATATCACAATATGAATGTTTTTTTTATAGATCAATATAAAAACAAATGGTTAAACATCGAAATATGTATCATACGAAATTTTAGTTAAATATACAAATGAGCATCTATTTATGGATAACCCATTAATAAAAAAAAAAAATGAGATATATATGCATACATACACACACACACACATATATATATATATATAATTTTAGTCCACGCAAAAGTCATTAAAAATGGAATACTTATTGTAATACAACTTTTCAATACTCTTTGCTGTGTTATAATCTCCGAAGAGCTTCAAAAGCAAAGAAGAGCTTTCGATTAATTTTTTGACAAAGTCTTGATCAAATTGATCTATTTCTTGATTTGACCAAAAAATAGATGCTTTTTGTAAATTTTGAATAATTTCCAAATTTTTAATACGCTTTTCAAATATATCTATCCAGAATGTTGTAATGATATGTATAATTCCTTCAATGTCTAATTCATTTTTTCCTTTTGATTTTTCCCATATATTACTTTTTGGTGTTTTGCTATCCATAATCCATCTAGTACCATATTCTGCATCTAATATTTTTTCAATAATAGGTGATAAATTAGTTGATATAATATGGAATATACTTAAAATAATATCTAATATTACATATTCATTATTTATATATATATTACTTTCTGTATTCATTAATAAACTATGTATTAGATTTGATGGATAAAGCCTTCTATTATTTTCATCTATTTTCAATTTTAATATAACATCATCATTAATATTATGACTACTTAACAAACTATGTGAATTTATTATTATATTTTCACTTGAATTATATAAGTTTCTATATATGACATTTCCTATATTCCAACATATATATAAATATGAATTTATAGGTATGTTATTAGAATAATTATTCCCATGCATGTAACAAAAAAAATCACGTGCGCACGTTATATTAATATTCGTAAAAATGTTCTTTCTATTAATATTCATATTGTTTGAACATGCTTTTCTTTTTTTTAAAATTTCTAAATTCTTTTCTTGTATAGTACTACTTTTTAAATGATCGATATTTAAAAAATCTCCATCTTCTTCTAATCCTTCCTTTTCCTCCTTATTAAAATAATAAGAATCCTTATTATCAATATCATTTTGATATTCCCTGTTATATATTTTTTTTTCCCCTTTTTTAGAAATATCTTCTGAATCAATTGGATCTTTACTATTAAAATAAGGACTCCTCTGATTTTTTTTTTTTTTACTAGCAATTATATCATTCCCTTTGTTTGTATAAAGAGAAGTTGCATTTTTATTAATCTTTGGAAAAGAAGATATGTTATTATTTATATATTTTAAATCATCGTCGTCATCATTATATACAAATTTTTTTTGCAAATTTGATGAATTCATGAAATCTTCATCATTTGAATTATTATCTTGAGATGTATTATTATTAAGAAGATATTGACAAAACTGTCTGATAACATTAATACTACATTGATATATAGAATTAATATTTTTATCAATATTATCTTTATTTATATTATAATTATTAATAACATTATTTGTTAAAGCTCTGCATTCTAATATTTTTATTGGAGGATAATAATAATATTCTAGGATATGAAAAACAGCAGTACATTCATTATATAATTCTACATTTTTTATAATTGTATATTTACTAGTATTTTTAATATTACATTTAATTTTGGAATTAACACTATTAATATCCCAGAATATATTTAAATAACATGATTCGTTCATAAAATTATATTTACAGAAACCACTGATACTAGAAAACATACCATCACTATTACATCCAAATTCACAAGAACGTAAAGAAGATATTTTCTCATTTGGTAATTCAATCCAATTTCCTTCATTCAATTCAACAGATTTGATACCTTTACTATCTCTTAAATTTAATGTTTGTCTAGTAAAATTTATAATAATTATATATAAAGATTTATGTGCTTTTCTAAGTCTTTTTTTCCATTCATAATTTTTTATATTAATAATGAAACTTAATGGTAATATATCTAATATATCATTATCACGATGATAATTATGTATTAATTTATCATTTGTTAAATTATCTTCATTATTATAATAATTATTATTATCATTATTATTACTAATAATATTCGTGTAGTTGTTTATTCTTAAATTATTATTCATATTTTCTTTACGTAATTTTTCTTTTTCTTCTAAGGTTCGTATGTGTAACACACGAAGAAGACTTTTCTTTAATTTCTTCTTATGGTATTCAATAAATCTATGCCCTTCTTCAGTTTCAACAATGTTAATATAAAATTTACTGTTATATGTATTATCAAAACTATACTTTACTAAAAAATAGTTCTGTTGTGATAAAATTTGTTTATCTTCGTTCTTTATATTCAAACCAATAATCGATGTAGCTGTATTATCACCTAATAATGGTATATCAAAACGAGCATTCAAAATATATTCATCACTATTTATAACTACACAATATTGTAATATACCATAAAAATTACCCATAGTTTTCGTAAATTTAGCTATACATTTTTCTTCCCCTTTACTTTTTAAACACTCGGGAGGATTAATTAACCATACTCCATGTTTTACTGAATGCATATATCTATAAAAACAACAACTAGTCCCGTTAAATATTCTTATTTCGCATTCTCGATTTTCCATTCTTTTTATACATAATTACGTCATCATCTAATGCATTATTATATCATTTGTATTATACTGCTAGTTATATTTCTTGCAATGTAATATAGTGAAAATATACACATATACATATATATACATATATATATATATATATATATATATATATATGTTAGGATAAAATAAAAAAAAATAAATAAAATATACATATATACATATATATATATATATATATATATATATATATACTTATTTAGTGTACATTTATATTTATTCATATCTTATATAACGATATATTATTTTACATATTTGCATGGATTCAATTTTTTTGTCTGTATTATATTTTATATATATTTAATTACACATATCGGCATAAAATAATAAAAGTTATATATATATATATATATATATTTCTGTAATCAAATGAACACAAATATAATAATATTTAAGATATGGTATATTTTGTTTTTTCATATTACCATTTTCGATATATAAAATAAGGAGAAATTATTCATTCAAATGTTTTTTTATTCTTATTTTTAATGTATAATAAAATTAATATTTATTAAGAATATATGACATTATACTTTTTAATTTTTTTTTATATTTTAAAATGTTATTTCTAAAAAATGTTAAAAGTTATTTTATTTTTTTTTCTTCTGTTTGAAGATAGATAAATATTTTCTTTCGATTTTTAAATAAATGCAATCCTTTTATATAAATATAAATATTTGTATTTTTCTTATATGTTCATATGTTATTTTTTTGTTAAATTTTTGATATATCTTTGTTATATTTTTGTTATATCTTTGTTATATTTTTGTTATATCTTTGTTATATTTTTGTTATATCTTATATTTTTGATATATTTTTTTTATATTTTTATATTTTTATTTATTTATTTATTTTATTTTATTTTTTTATTTATTTATTTATTTTATTTTATTTTCCATGATTTTATAATATTTGTATAATAAAATGCATAAAAGATTTATTTAAAAATAGAACTTGAACAATTAATTATGGACTGCTATAAAAATAAAATAAATATCATTATATTTATATATAATATATTTAATATAATATAGCATATTAATATTATTAGAAAACCAAATAGTTATTTTATATTTTATTATTTTCTTTCTATTATATATTTATTTTCAATAATAGGCAAATTAAAACAATTTTTCAGTATACATATAATATATATATATATATATGTATATTTTTCAAAAGTAAAAAAAAAAATAAAAAAAATATAAATTCACAATAGATAATTTAAAAAATATATATATTTTTTGGACAACTTTTAAAATAATATGTATAAACATATATATTATTTTTAAATACTTTTGAGAAGTACATGTGTTTAATATCCATCTTAATATATATATATATGTATGTATGTATAACGTTATAAATAATAAAATTATAGAAAAAGGAGAAAAAACAAAAACAACAGTTCCTCATATTTCTTTATCATTATTTTTTTTAAAATTACATGTATATATTATTTTCACAATGTAAAAAATGAAAAATATCGAATTCGACATATATACATTATTTAATATTTCTTTTTTCTTGTTTTTTTTTTTTTTTTTGTTATAAATAACGTATGCATATTCTAAATACGTTGAACATAAAAATATCAATTTTATATAAGTATACAACAAATATATAATATATATATATATATATTTATATTAAATTGAAAACAATGTTTTATTCATAATTCTTCTTTTGCTTTCGTCTTTTTTTTTTTCTTTTAAGTTTTAAGTTATAATACTTTCAATGTAAAGCGATGAATTAATATATCAACTCCATTTATTAAAAGGATAGATATAAAATAAAAATATATATATATAAAAAAAAAAAAAAAAAATGAGCAAATATATATAAACATAGAAATTTTTTTTATAATATATGGATATAAAACACTAATTACATTTTAGAAAAAAAAAATTATAAATATATATATATATATATATATATATATATAATGAAATAAAACAAAACATATATATATATACAGTAAATTGTTATTATATACTATTGTATGTATTTATTTGTTTATATATTAACGTTCATTTCTTATTATTTTTGTTTATTTTTTGTTTTAGCCTTCCTCAAATTTGATTTAGTATATATTTTCAGGATACTTAATAAAAAAAAAAAAAATATATAATCTATTCAAATACATTTTATATATAACCCTCCTTTGCAAATTATATTATTTTTATTTTTTTTTTTTTTTGTGTGTGTGTGTATGTGTATGTATATGCATGTGTACATACCCATAATTGCATAAAATAACACTTCATAAATTTCACTTTTTGGAAATAAAAAAAGAAAAAAAAATATTTATCCGGAAATATAAGAAATATAAAATTATAAAGACACATAAACAAAAAGTTAAACCTATATATATATATATATATATATATATATACATATACATAGGTGGTTATTTCTACATGGGGTACATTATACATATGAACATACATATAACCAAATACATATACATTTCTTCTGATATATTCATATAAATACACTTTTATTAATGATTACTCCTTTAGAGTGTTTTCTTGATATGTTTCAATTTTGGTATGTTGTCAAATAAATATTTTCCATGTGCTTTTAAATCCGAATAATATGGATGAACTAATTTGTATGCTTTTGTTATATAGACATCATTAATATAATTATAAAGAAATACAGCCCATGTCAATATATAAAAAAGAACACTGAAATTAACAAAAGAGAAAAAATTTCCAACACAATATATTACAATAATCACGGTAACATTATCCATAGTATTAGTCCATAATAAATATTTGCGTATCAATGTTAATTTATCATTTATCATATCATATAAATACATAACAAAACTTTCTATCATTTCTTTAGATACAATTTCTAATTTATCATTCTCCTTATAGTCTGATATCTTATGTACTTGTAAAAACACAAGCAATCCGCTTAATAATAATATCATAATACTTAAAGTACACAATACTTGTAAAAACGTATGATTAAAAATATATAGTAATATATACAAGGCGTTTATCGATGAAAACATCGATACGCAAACAATATTCTTTGTTGTTAAATTCATCTTGGAAACATAAAAATGCTATATTATAATATGTAAATATATATGTAAATATATATGTAAATATATATATATATATATATATATATATATATATATATATATATATATTTTTATAAGTGTTAATATACACGTATATATTTATTACGTATAAATGGCCTCAATGATTTTTATTAATATATTTAGAAAAATAGCTTTATCTAAAAATTATAAAAGGAAATTTTATTTTTATATATTATACAAATATATTTTATATATCTATTATAATTATATATACATGGATAAGGAAAATAAAAATATACATATATATATATATATAAGTAAAAAGGATTGTGCTATTATAAATATTATATTAAAATATAAAATACATATTATAAATATATATATATATATATATATTTATATATTTATATATTTACATTATTGGAATGTAAAGACTAAAG